CCGACAGGTGGGGCCGGGTTGGCAGCTACAGAGAGCGGGGCGGAGGCGCGCGACAACGGCTACCTGGCTGAACTGGGCCGGGCAGTTGCGGCCGAGCTGGGTCGGGGAAGCGGCGGCGGTTGCTTGGCCGAGCTGGGCCAGCCCAAGAAGGGAAGAGGGGGAGGCGAGCGGGCCGCGGGAAAAGAAAAATGGAGTCAGGCCGAAAGTGAAGAAAGGAAAGGGGAGGGAAAAGAATTCTTTTTCTTTTTTTCCAAATACATTTTCCAATCTCATTTTCAAGTTGAATTTGAATTCAATTCAAATTCTAGTCAAAGCCAATCATTACAAAAACCAATGTGCAGCAGCATGAATGCATCAACATGTTACTAGCCTTATATTTGATTTTATTTTCACAAAAATTATTTCTTTCCTATATTTCAATGCTCACATAATAATAACGTAATTAAATCGAATTTTCTTATTTCAAAAGACTGAAATTTTTGGGTGTTACATCGTCGAAACTAGTCGGCAACTCGCGGACATCCTCACCAAGCCACTCGGAGCTGAAGAAGACGATCGGCATGGTGGAGATTCCTACCTCAGATTAGCAACAAGATTAGTGGAAGAATTGTAAAGTAATCTGCTGCTCTCCCCAGTGTACCCGCAGCAGGGGTTGGCAGGAAAAGTCACCTCTGCTGTCACTGTAGCCACAGTAGGGGCAGACGTCGAAAGTCAGACCTGTTGTCGCATCTAGTCACTGTAGCAGCATGGCAATATGACATGTCTGTGTATTAGGATTAGATGGCTAAAGTTGTATATATCGCCTGCAAAGGTAACTCGGTAAAGTAGTGAAGTTCACCTGAGTTCTCGGCCAACGCTGGTGCTTGTGCTGTGTGTATGCTCTGTTCTTACTCCCTCTTCACTCTCTAGCCTAGTGTGTGTACGAGAGCGCCGGTGAGCGGATTGCTCACCCGTGCGGGAACTATTCACCAAAGTTGACAGTTGATTTTACTTATATCTAGACAAGCAGAATTTGCTCTTTACCCAAGGTATCAGATGTCTTCTACTACTTTGTCACTCGTTTACTTTTTGGACTTGATGCTGGAATCTTTACCATTAGCTATGTCATACTGTAGTCTGTCATTGGTGGGGCCATGGGGCCATGCTGTAATCTTATTTTTGTACCCCTAGAAAATTTGTGCCGACAGAAAAAAAAAGGCTGACGTAGCCTGTTCGTTTCGGTTGGATTGGTTTATAAACCATGGCTGAAAGTACTGTTGGCTGATTTGGTGTAAGAGAAAAATATTGTTCGTTGACTGATAAGTCAAGGCTTATAAGCCAGATACGAGCTGCTGAACAGGCTGATCATTAGCGTCTTGTAAACTAACCACTGAAGTAGCAGAATAGAAAATAGCATAGCCGCCAATCTAGACTAGCCTTTTGTTTTACCTAGAGGCTGACAGGCTGACCGCATTATTTCAACTAGTTAACCTTCAGCCTGCATCTTTTTTCATATAAACCAAAAGGAGACTGCAGTATCGGTGTGGTCATATTTACTTCACTGGCCACTTGGTGATTCTTCATTTTTCAGTACTTCATCCTGTAACTTATGCTGTAGTAGGAAATATATATTGGTTATCAAAGCTGATACTTGAACGAACCAGCCATGTTGGTAATAAGAAGACCACACTGAGCTGATGCTCAGAATATACGAGACAACAGTTTGGTATGCTGCTGTTGTCTTGTCTATCGCTACCGCTGCTTCTCACAACAAATGAAGGCATTTGATTGCAGGAATTCCAAATGATCTTTGTCCACTAATCCTACTAAGTTAAGTTGTGTCACGTTGATGAAAGTGCTGACAGTTTAGCTCATATGGTCGAACTCTTCTCTCACTAGTTGCAACTTTTTCTTTCATGCTCAGTGACGATCATCAGATTCCCCAAGTATGGCTAGTAATCTAGGAGCAAGTTGAATTTGTTATAAACATTTATGTAAATGGCCAATTCCATCAGTGTCTCCTGAAATCATCACGAAGGTGTCACATATATTATATACTTAAATTTTAAATGCTTTCTTTCCTTTCCAGTTGAATTGCTTGGTAGCTATGATTAGGATGATACTGAGGTGTTCCACCTGCCCGTCTTAACTCATCTGATGTCATTGACAGAAGACATATTCCATAAGCATGGTAAGCTACTAAGTACCTGAAGCCATGGTTTGACTAAATGGACCATGAAGTTGTATCTATCAGTTTCAGGGAATTAATTAGAGCCCTCCATGATGAAACCTGGACATGACACTTAAATACACTAAAGCATATAACTCTGGCACCAGATCAGTCACTTCTTTCTAGCAAAATCTGTGCACTATTACGCTTTTATATATTTGTTTTTTGAAGGTAGATGTGTGACTGCGTTCTGTGATTATCCGAATCTGTCAATTTCATTTTAGAAGTAATCAATTTTCCTTTTTATTGCCTAGGATTGTTCAATCGTGCTCTGAAATCCTTTCTATGTTGAACATGAGAAGGAGAGTGCTAAATTGCTAAATGAATTCATAGTTCAGACTTAATCTCTTATGATGTGCAGGTGCCACCATCTTAGCTTGTCATTCTGTACCAACAACATTTTCTACTAATGCTTTACTTATTTTGTTTTGAGACAAAAGTGCCACAAGCTGCTGCCACTGCCGTTCTTTGGAATCAATCATATTCCTTGCCAGGGAGAAGGCCAGGATAAAAGGTTCAGATTAATAGGAATGTGCAGCTTCGAGCCAAGAAGTCTGTGTGGCCCATACTGTTTTCTGTAAGTTCCCTTTGCAACAACTCTCCACTCTTTGAAACAAGCAGCATTGTTGGATTGTCCTCATTCAATTCCACTGTATTAGCAATATCTAATAGCTGTTGATATGACGAGAGAAAATGACTGCAATGACTATATTAAGAATCTGCCAAAAGATAACTACTTAAGTATCATCCTACAATAACGGCGCTGTATGATTGCCTGATTGACAAGAACTAAAGAATTCAGTCTGGAAGCGAGTTGGTGTCATGACCTCATTGGCCACTGGTAGTAATTGAACACGCATTATATGATATATGTAAAGTGTGTTCCAGCTGGTCATATCAAATATAAAAGGGAAATTTTGCTGCAGGACACCGCTAAAAAACGTAATATACCGATGGACACCGCAACGAGCGGAATTTGCCCGGGACTATTACAAATTTAGGGTTCTTTACCGTGACACACCGCAGCCAATATTTTATTCATTTAACGGAGAGAGAAGACAGGAGAAATGATTTTTTTGCCCTCGTCTTCGACCTTTGGCCGTTCGCTTATTTTTGCCGTAACACATCGCCACCGCCTTTTCTTCTCCGGCGACGCCCACGACCGCGACGCCGGGCATCTCCACCACGGCTCCTCGTCTCTAGTAGCGTGGTGGAGGCATCGCTCTACGGCGGCTGGCGGTGTTGCAGCTGTTGCCATTGCCTGCCTCATCTTTCCCTTCCTCCGGTCTCCTCTCCCCTTCGTCATTGCCAAGGAGCGAAGCTCCAACAGCGCGACCGAGCCGCCCGCAAGGACCGAGCACCGCCGCGAGGACCAAGTTCCCCCCTCCCGCATCCACCGCGCCATCGCTCGCGCGTCGCAGCGCGCCACGACCTGCTCTCCCATGCGCCGAGTCCGCCGTTGACGGCATGCTTGAGCCCTCCGCGACCCAGCCCTCTCCTCCTCCTCTCTCTCTCCCTCTATAAAGGGCACCCGAGCTCCGCAGAAGCACGCCGCCACCACTCCGCCCATCCTCGTGCCTCCTCCTCTCCAGAGCCCAAAGCCGCCGCCGCCGCCATTGCCGACCCAAGGTCGAGCTCCGATCTACCAAATCCGTTCACCTCCGGCTTATTTTTCTCCTGTGTTGGCATCGCAGTGGCACAAAGAGGCCACAACCCCACCCCTCGGCGTCAATTCATGGCCGCGTCATTGAGTTCCACCGAGCTCCGCCACTACCGTCCGCCTCAACCCGACACCAGCGCTTTCCGAGCCGTTTCCACCAAAGAGGACCCCACTGGTGCTTTCTACGTGCTCTCCTCTACCTAGTCCGCCCCTCGCGGAAGGCCGCCGGCCACCGGAGCCGTGGTGGAGATGCCCAGCGTCGCGGTCGCGGGCGTCGCCGGAGAAGAAAAGGCGGCGGCGATGTGTTACGACAAAAATAAGCGAACGGCCGAAGGTTGAAGACGAGGGCAAAAAAGTCATTTCTCTTGCCTTCTCTCTCCACGAATCTGAGAAATGAATAAAATATTGGTTGTGATGTGTTACGGCAAAGAACCCCAAATTTGTAATGGTACCGGGCAAATTCCACTCGTTGCGGTGTCCATCAGCGTATTACGTTTTTTTAGCGGTGTCCTGCAACAGAATTTCCCAATATAAAATCTAAATGCTATATATATACATATTTCTATATGACACGTCATAGATGAAGTTTAATCGTCACCCTTTGTCTGGATCAGATTATATTGTTGGAACACATACTGTGCACAATTTTGAAGATTGAAGTATATGCTCTGCATCTAGGGTTGCATTTTGTTGCTTTTTTAATAGTAATTGCTACTTGACTACATTCTAAGATCGACACTGCAAGTAGCAACCCATCATAGAATTTCTTATTCTTATATGGACTATATGACAAAATGCTGACACGTAGCAAGAAGCACTACAGGAATATGCCCCCAGCGCCTTCTGAGTTTCTTCTGCTTCTTTCTGACAGGCCACCAAAAATGACACAGCACAGTTATTTTCGGGACTATGTAAACCCTGAAGTTGGTAGAGGCACACAAAGAGGCAAACACCTTTGGTCAGATCCATGTTGCACGGCGTCTACCAGATCAAGACAGTTTAGCTTGCATTGGGACGAGGGTCCGCACGCTTTTCTCTTCCACCTTGTCTCCCCACTTTGCCTCCTTGTTCTGTATATAAGTGAACTAAATCACATCGACCAAACCAACTCTTATGGTAGACAGCAAGCCAATGGAGACCATTTCATATCCTTGTTCTCCTCTCCTCTTCTTTCCTACACATGAAGAGAGTCGCTATTCACTATGGTCTCCTCAACTCACCCTCCATGAGAATGCCACCATACCTGCTGATCCTTCTCCTGATGTAAGAGAAGGTTGTGAGCTCTTTGACACCATTGCTATTGATTCTAGTGATTCCCATGACCAACATCCCTTTGATGTTGATGTGTTCAACCATTGTGATGAGAGGTTTCTGTGCCAAGAGAGTGCTAACCTGGCGGCTATCCAAGATGAGCTCATGGAGGAGAACAGTTTAAGTGATCTCCTTCTCACTGGTGCAGATGCGGTTGAGGCTGGGGATTCAAGCCTTGCCTTGGCGGTGCTTTCAAAACTTAATGGCCTCTTGGCTGGCACCTGTGAGAATGCTGCAACCAGCTCTTTGGGTCGCCTGGCCTACCACTTTGCCCAAGGCCTGCAATCCCGGATATCTGGTGCATGCTCTCCATGCTACCCGCCAGATCCAGTGCAGTCTGGTATCATGTCGGCGCACCAGATGATCCAAGAGCTGTCGCCATATGTCAACTTTGCACACTTCACCGCCAATCAGGCCATTCTAGATGCCACCATAGGTGACATGGATATTCATGTCATCGACTTCAACCTTGGTGAGGGCATACAGTGGCCATCGCTCATGTCAGACCTTGCTCGCCATGGTGGCAAGTCATTCCACCTTACAGCAATTATAACAGATGCTGTTTACAATGATGACACTTATCAAGCAGCTGCACGGCGGCTTTCGGAGTTTGCCGAGTCCTTGAACCTTCCCTTCCGGTACAACTCTCTGTGTGTACGCCATGAGGAGGACCTGGACGACTTCTCCCGGAACTGTGAAGGCCCAGTGGTTGTCTCTTGTGACACAACGAATCTGTGTTACAGATCAGGTAGCAAGTTACAGATGCTACTACTCTGTGTGAGGAAGTTACAACCCAAGTCAGTAGTCGTCATAGAAGAGGTGCTGGTCAGAATTGGGAAAGAGGCTTGTTTGTCCCAGGCCTCCTTTGTGGAGTTCTTCTTCGAGGCATTGAACCATTTCACCACGGTGTTTGAGTCCCTGTCGAGTTGTTTCAGCAGTAGTAGCAACAGGGCGTGCCTGAGGCTTGTCGAGAAGGATATGGTGGGGCCAAAGATACAGGACTTCGTGGGGCAGTACGGATCTGTGACACCGGAGGCCGCTGCTCCGAAGGTTTTGGAGGGTTTTACATCTTGTGAGCTGAGTGCTTGCAATATTGCTCAGGCTAGGATGCTCGTTGGGCTGTTCAACAGGAGCTGGTGTCGGTTTGGAGGGCTTCAGTTGTGCTGGAGGTCCAGACCTTTGATCTCTGTGTCGGTTTGGACTCCTGTATGAAAAGATATCAGTTTGTGATTGTTTCATTAGGGGTAATTTTTCTGGTAAGAGTTTGCACTGGAGGATTTTTTTTTTGTTGGGAGATTATTTGTAGAATGCAACTATGCAAATGCCAGAATTATATTGTTTGTTTGGGTCGATTCTTCTAACTTTTATCAGGCTGGTGTCAACTTCTTTCCTGCCTTTCAGTTTCAGGGTGGTATTATAGGCTACTAGGGACTGTTAGGTTGAAGGCCTTCAGTCCGAGCAGCTTCTAGCCCAGGCAGCAATCTCAATCTCGGCCCTCTAAAATTGAAGACCTGAGATTTATCCCTGCCCTCCAAAATTAGATTTATGCCTGCCCTCCAAATTTGGAGGCCTCTGATTTATGCCTAGGCTAAGGCTCAAACCAAACAGACCTCTAATGCAACAAGCACTTAGGTATTGTTAATGAGCTCTTGTGTTTTGATTTTCCATATTTCTTTGTTATTTCTCTTAAGAAACATTTAAAGCCCCAAAAACACATATATCTAAGAGAACTTGTAGTGATGAATAAGCTTGCAACTTCTTTGACTATTCCTTCCGTCCCTAAATGATTGTCGTTCTCGCTTCCCGAAAAATAACTTTAACTAATTTTATATAAAAAATATTAATATTTATGGTACACAATTGATAACGTTAGATAGATCGTTAAATCTATTTTTATAATAAATTTATTTGAAGATTCAAATGTTGCGCGTATTTTGTCAAATATATAACACGAAAATAAAAAAGGACAATTATTTAGGGACTGGAATCGGCAACTGGCTTTTGGAGCTGCTGCTTTATTTTTTGCCGCTAGAGGCCTTGAGCTAGGACTGCTGGAGCACAACCAAACGCTTCGCCTTAGCTTCGCCACCGCATAGAAAATGCCGTGACGGCCACGGCCCTCGCTTCCCGAATCTTGCCCGTACCGCGCTTAAATTCTCACAACTGGGCACGGCGAGTCGGCGAGGCCATCTTCCTCAGCCACGACGACCGCACCGCCCGTCCCCTCCGCCTCCACGTGCCTGCCACGACGAGACCGAGGTTGACCAGGCTGCTGCGCGCGAGGACGTGCGACGGTTACCAGCTGCAGCAGGTGAGCAGGGACGGCCCTGCCGCTCCTCCCTCAGCCCCACACTGCTCAGCCCTTAGCCTCGCGCAGGGCGACCAGCTCCTCTCGACGGCGGGCCGGTGCCCGGCGGCGACACTGGCTCGAGATCCGCTGCCATCCCCTTCCTCTGTGTACTCGCTGACGTGTGGATCCGGTAAAAACCCTCTGCTTTTTTTTTATAGCAGCTTCTTTACGCGTGGGCATCTAGAAAACAGCTAGCTTGTACAAGAGCTCGTAGTCATTTTGGTCACCTCAAAAGTCCTCTCTCTTTGCAGACCCATTTGGTTACTTCTTCCCAAGGAGCGTTCGTCATGGAAGCACTGATTTCTGCAGTTGCGGGTGAACTTGTCAGCCGGTTCATCTCTTTCTTAGCACAGAACTTTGCGACCGTACACTGAATGAGGATGACCATAGAAGATTGGAGCACGTCCTGCTAAGGATTCATACCATCGTTGAGGAAGCAGAGGGGCGGTGCATCACAAATCGAGGAATGCTGCTACAGCTGAAGATGCTCATGGAGGGCATGTACGAAGGGCACTACATGCTTGACAGGTTCAAGATACAGCATGCTGAAGAAGACAAAGTCGAAGGTGAGGTGAGATCACTTGCCATGTCTACTCTTACTGCTGCCAAGCGCCTTCGTTTTACTTCTGCTATCACAAAGGACACACCAGCAGCTTTTGGTACCGGGGGCACTGCAAACCTGAAAGGTATTCTTGACAGTTTAGAAGCAAAGATTCAGGATATGAGGGAGTTCGTCATGCTGCTTGGCAGCTGCCCACGCCTGCCTCGTCAGCCGTACTGTACATATCTGTTCATGGATAAGTGCATGTTTGGTCGCCACGCCGAGAAAGAGCATGTCATCAATTTCTTGCTGGCAAATGATGATACTCATGATGACTGCCCAAATCTGGGCATCCTTCCGATCATCGGTCCGCACCGAGTTGGGAAGAAAACCCTTGTGCAACATGCTTGCAAGGATGAGAGGGTACGCGATTTCTTCTCCAAGATATTGTTCTTCAAAGGGGATGATCTAGAGAACGGAGAATTCGCAGAGAGTTTAGAGGCTGCCTCCGGGAAGAAGTGCTTGTTTGTTGTTGAGTTCCATTGGAATTTGGATGAGGCAGCATGGGCAAATCTCAAATCCTCTTTTCAGAAGGTGGCGGGTCATGGAAGTAAAGTTCTTCTGATAGGAAGAACTCATGAAGTTGCTAAGTTCGGGACGGCACTGCCTGTCTGGATTAAGAGTTTGTCTCAGGAAGAGTACTGGTACTACTTCAAGGCACTCGCTTTCGGAAGCATGGATCCTGATGAGCATCCAAAACTTGCATCTCTGGGCATGCAGCTAGCTACTGAATTAAAAGGCTCATTCCTGGGTGCAAACATACTCGGTGAGATGTTAAGATCTAATCCCAACGCTCAGTTCTGGCACGCCATCCTGTCAAGCGTAAGAGCGCTCGTGCAGGAACACATGTTTTCCGTTGGGGTACACCCTGAAGACCTCCTTGAGAGAAATGTTCCTGTTGGTTTCACTAATGTTTCCTTTGTGGGTGCCCAAAGTCAGGGGTGCCTGGTGTATGATCTCAGGGAGGCTGGCCCTGGAGAAGATGAGCTGCCATTGCCGACGTCGCGAGAAGTACTGACGGGTGTCAAGGTTCCTGCTGAGGACAGGTTTGATGTGCTGGTATGGAAATCTCGCATCCCACCATACTGCAGCTACATAGCTACCTATGAGAGACAGAAGGCGCCCCGGCACAAAGTTGGCAAGAAGAATCGTCTGGCTCTGAGAGAAATACAATCGTAGTTGTTCGCTGGCAAACAGATTTCTCAGAAAGGTGCATGTTGCATGCATCCTCAGGCATTTTAGTTCTCGAGACTGTCTGCTGGTGTATGATTTCAAGGGAAGCCCAGGCATGTCCATAGCGAGCTTCCCAGATTAACATCAAAATGAACACTGGTGGATGGTTGGAATTGGAAGTTTTCTTGTGATGGGATGCTTGATGTGCCAGCACCAAGTCATGCGTCCCTCCTTTCAGCGATATATATATATATATATATATATATATATATATATATATATATATATATATATATATATATATATATATATATATATATATATATATATATATATATATATACCCCTCCGTGAAGCCAAAGCTCAGGTCGTCAGGCGTACGCCTATAACTAGAATCACCTGGTTGTTAACCATATAGGCATGATCTTGTTTGAAAAAGAAACATATTGCTGTAACTGCATTGTGAACTACTGTAACGTTTTTATGGCCTCTTAGGCTGCTCTCTTGTTAGCATTTTGGATAACTAAAATACAGTCCAATGCCTTGTACCAAGAACATGTTGCTGTATATAACCTCTCCCGACCTTACTATCGTCTACTCCCTCTGTCCCTAAAAGAAGTCATTCTAGACTTGGACTACGTCAAACTTAAAACCTTCTTTAAGTTTGACTGTATTTATAGAAAATATATCACTACTTGTGTATCCAAATTAGTTTATTATGGAAATATATTTCATTATCTATCCAATGATACTTCTTATGTATCATAAATATTAATATTTTTTTGTATATAATTGATCAAAGTTGAGATGGATTTACTGCTGATGAGAATAATACTCTTTTGGGGCGGAGGGAAGAAAGTTCACCCAGCACCTCCATCCATTATTGCCGTGCAATACTATTGCAACCACAAATTGATAATGACAGGAACACGAAGTTGCAATAGGAAATGTGCGAGTGCAACCTGTTTTCAATGATTTGGACCCTTGTTTATACAAGATGATGGCTTCGATCGGAGACATGCATTTAGGAGAAATTCTAGCTATCTTCCTAGCAATTTCATAGTCACTTTCAAAAGTGTTGAAGTCCATGTATGTAATTGATTGGAGTAGACGAATAGATGACTATATTCCCTGAAGAAAAAGGATGAATATATCTGCTTATATAAAATGTGCCTGAATTCGACAAACTATTCTGCTCCGATCCCTGCTGGTAGCTCTCGTAGTCACATGTCACTAGTGATTCATGGATTTCGATCTCCTTGAGCAAAAATGGTTTAGCAGTAATTTTCTATAAACATATATTTGTTAAGCAAGCCCATTTTTAAGAAACTTTTATTTCATTGATGCAACGCGTCAAGCAAACTATTGGCAAGCATATTGCATGAAATATCCAGATTACGCCTTGTTTGGATGCACTTGTATTCATCTCAATTTACATGTCTTCAAGTGGATTGGAGTAAAATTAAACTAAGCTACATTCCAATTTACTCTAGCACATATGGATTGAAGTGCATGCGCATGCATCCAAACAAGGCCTCAGTGAAGTCACATGCAAATTCCAAGGGAACTTGTTGCACGCGTACAAATCACTAGCAATTTATCACAATATAATACAAATTGTTTGAAAAGGCAAAGGATGACCTAATAACACCAAGGTGCCATATATTCTATGTCATATGGCTTTGTGACTAACTTAACTACAATACATGTGTGCCATATGAAAGCAACTTCATACCTAATGCCGCACTTTTTGAGCCACAGCAACAAAGTTCCGTGCCTTTTTTTCTCCACTCCACATGAACAAGACAAATGTTCCACACGTTCTCTGGATTCATGCACATTAGTTATTATTATTAGTACAATCATCATGATAAAGAAAATAGAAAGCTTAACATGTTTGCTACAACAATGGAAAACATTGACAGAAAAATCTGATTATTATGACATTCAATCTAATAGTAGTGTGATACTAGATGCAATGGAATGTTTAAAAATCTTCTTGCTAGTTGCACCTTTTATTTCTCGTGACTGCAAATTTAAATCTCTTTTACTATAAATCTAAGTGTGCGTACATGTATGAGTGTCTATATTGTACTCCATCTGGCCGTCCTCTCGTAAAAAAAAAATTCTAGATTTTGCATAAGTCAAATGATTAAGTTTATAAAAGAATAATATCAATGTTTATGTCTTCAAATAGATTTACTACGGAAATATATTTCATAATTAATTTGATGATATTTTTTTCTGTATCATAAATGTTAGTAATTTTTTTTGTATAGATTTAGTCAAACCTAAAATTGTTCGACTTCTCGAAAAATAACAATTGCATTTTTTTGGATAGAAGGGAGTAATTTGCAAAAAGAAAACTATAACTCCAAAAAGGATTGAAACTGCCCAAACAAAAAGAAAAATCGAGGCCCTCTTTGCCCTGTTTTTGTTAGGACTTCTCCACCAACTTAATAAAAACGTTGCTAAACATGCACACATGAGAACGGTTTGCGAGGTCAAAACTCATAAAACCGAAGCCATTTTTATCTAGAAACCGAAGCAAAAAAAAACATGATTTTTTGGCTTTACTCGAGCTGTCGAGCAGCAGGGAGGAAGAGGAACAGCATCGTTCCAGCAGACACAAAATGGTAGGCTTCCCATTTGCGAGTGTGTGACCCCACTTCGCACCTGTCCGGCCTCCTCCGTACACCACGTCCACGGATGTGGCCCATTGACTCACTTGGCCCACACGAACTGGTCCACCAAGGACGGAGCCCACTGAAGAAATTCTCAGGAAACCCCTGGACCTCCAAAACATTCCTGCGGTGTGCGGTCCTACCCCTACACTCACAGCGCGTACGCATTTTACCATTATGCCCCCTGAGCTGCATCGTATTTCCAACACGAGTCCTTCGCCCCCCAGCGGCTGCACGATCCTTAAAGCTCCATTGCTCCCCCACCTCGCCTCCTTCCACTTCGAGCACACACACCCCACGCCCGCGCGCGGCCCCACCGCACTGCCGGCCCTTGGTTCCACAGAGCGCGCGCGCTGCGCGGTGCCCCCAGCGATGGCGGCGGGGATGGCGGTGGTGGGCCCGAGGAGGGCGTCGGCGAGAGTTCGTCCCCGCCTCGCGACCCCGGGCCTGCGGCCGCGGCTGCACCTGCTGCCTCCGGCGGGAGCGGTGGCGGCGGCCGCGGCGGGAGCCTCCGAGACATCTGCCGCGAGGTGTTCGAGCGCCTCGTCAGCGATGGCCTCGCGGCGGGCTCCGAGCTCCTCGCCCAGCTCGAGGCCCACTTCAATAGGCTCCCCATCAGGTGAGCCACTCGCAGACTCGCTCGTCTCGTCTCCGCCTTCCCTCCCCTGCCCCAGCCCGCGGAAGCAGTTGCCTGCGCCTTTTGGTGGAATGATTCGGGGGTTGGAAAGGTTTCTCAAATGGTCGGGGAATCCCTTGAGCTTGTGGCCGGATTGAGGAAATCCGCGTCAGTTGTTATGCTTAGGTCTCGTTCGTTTGGCTGGTTTTGAGGCTGGGAACTATTCCAGCTAATCTATACTAATACAAATAAGCCTATCAATCCAGCTGGAACAATTCCAGAGCAACCATTCCAGATTAAACGAACGGGCCCTTAGGGACTCATCACGGCGTTCAGCTTTACTGGATTTATGCCAGTGGAATATCACTGGGTCCAACGACCGGTCTTCAGCTCTGCTCGGTGGACTTTGAACGGCGGTTTCTAGATTAAACTAAGTGGCGAGCATTTGTTTATTTGACTTTGAATGGGTGTGTTCCCTTCTCCAAGGAACGTGCTTCTCAATTGTTTGCAACTTCGCTAGTATGTCTGCTGTGGCTGTAGTCTTGTAATTTGATCATTGGATTGCCGTGGCTGTAGTCTTGTAATTTGATCATTGGATTGCCGTGGCTGTAGTCTTGAGTTCTGGGATCAGCAGTGCCATTTTGTTTATTTGACACTGATGGGTGTGTTCCACACTCCCACTTCCAGGAAGAATATTTGGTTCCTTGGAAGCCTTCTTGTTACATCTTATTTTAGACATTTTAGTCTTGCAAGTTAATGTTTAAAATTCGACCCAGTAGGGTCATCTATTATTTCATTGGTACCTCCATTACTTTATTTAATGTTATTCTTCTACTTCATTACCGCGTAGCTACAAGCTGGATGTGAATATTGACAAAGCAGAGGACGTGTTAATCCATCAGAAAGTTTTGGCAGAAGCGAAGGATCCTGATAGGCGCCCAGCGTTCGCTGTCCGTTTCCTCAGGGTAACTATTTTTTCTTTCTGTGTTATGTGTTCTATGGGCTGGGTTTTGTTTACACTCAGCAAGCAGTTAAGGTCTGTGCAAAATTCTGGGTATTATGAGGAAACTGTCATTAGAAGTCACAGGAACAAACTAGTACTAGACATCTTTCTTTTTTCTTCCCAAAATTTTTCCTTGAAAGCAATTTGAACCTGTGTATCATGGCGCAATAACCATTTCTGTAACAGTAAATCAATTTTGTCAAATGAACCATTTCGTGCTTATTCTTTTTTATTAATTGATGCCTGTTTATATCTGGTATCACCAGCAAAAAGTAGAGTTAATTATTGACATTAAAACTTTGATCAAAGCTTGAAGAGGTAAATGTGGACGAGACAACTAACTCTGATGCTCATGAAGAAGGGGCTGATATTGGTGAAGCTCTTTCTACCAGGTACTCATGCACAGTGCTAGTGTGGTGCTTTTGTAGTTTTGACTCTTGAGTGACCTTGACGGACAAGTTGTGTGCTGTTTCCAACCCAGCATTTACTTCCAGACTGTTTGAAGATACAACCTATTGTTAGATTATGATCTGAGATATACGGTTTAGCAGCAGAACATGCATAAGAACAAAGGGAAAAAAAATATTCACAAATTAAACAAAATGGTAACTGTTGGTTGCTTTCCATAGTTTCTTTGGATTTGGTAAGTAATGTACTTGATGTTCCAGACTAATTGTAGAAATATGCTATTGATCTCACTATTTTGCTGGTGAGTTACTGAAGTTAAAAGTGTTATTAGACTTTGAGATCATGAACCAACACACCACCGAACCATAGTTACTTAATGCAACTCTGGATTGACAGTAGCTATTTTATTTTACCACATAACTGCATGTGCTTTGTTTGCCTCCTTTTATATATCATGCTATATGTGAAATCATAGTGTTCCATGAGAATCCAATTCATTTTTATTTATCTTAATTGTTTTTGCACACTAATTACAAACGATGGTAACACAGGTTACTTCCCGATTAAAATTGGACTTCATCAAGGGTCAGCCTTAAGCCCGTATCTCTTTGCCTTGGTAATGGATGAGGTTACCAAGAACATACAAGGGATATCCTTGGTGTATGTTGCTCGCTAATGATGTAGTGTTAGTGGACGAAAGTCAGGCAGGAGTAAATAGGAAACTAGAGTTATGGCGGCAGACCCTTGAGTCTAAAGGTTTTAGATTGAGCAGAACTAAAACTGAATACATGAGATGTGACTTTGACGGAGTTGTACCGGAGGAGGAAGATGTGAGTTTGGAAGGTCAAGTAGTGCCTAAGAAGGATACCTTTCGGTATCTGGGATCGATGCTACAGAGGGATGGAGATATTGATGCGGACGTTAGCCATAGAATCAAAGCAGGGTGGATCAAGTGGCGACAAGCTTCTGGCATTCTCTGTGACAAGAGGGTACCACAAAAGCTAAAAGGCAAGTTCTATAGAACGGCGATTAGACCGGCTACATTGTATGGAGCAGAATGTTGGCCTATAAAGATTCGACATGTTCAACAACTGAGTGTTGCAGAAATGCGTATGTTGTGGTGGATTTGCGGTCACACAAGAATGGACCGAGTTCGGAACGATGATATACGTGATCGCCTAGAGGTAGCACCAATTGAAGAAAAGCTTGTCCAACATCGGTTGAGGTGGTTTGACCATGTCTAAAGGAGACCTCTAGATGCACCAGTGCATTGTGGAGTCATAAGCCAAGCTAATAATATGAGGAGAGGTAGAGGAAGACCGAAATTGACATGGGGGGAGGCAATAAAAAGATATTTGAAAGCTTAGGATATACCTAGAGATCTATGTTTGAATAGGAGTACTTGGAAAGCAGCTATTGAAGTGCCTGAACTGTGACTTGGGGCTCTTGGTGGGTTTCAACTCTAGCCTACCCCAACTTGCTTGGGACTGAAAGGCTATGTTGTTGTTGTTTTTGCACACTAATTGGGTTGAGGCTTAACATGTTAACAGATTAAGGTATATACATAAATACAATTTTTTTATATATTATTGTTTAATAGGTGGAATGGAACAATAAACATGGTACACTACAGAGGTGCATGAGTGCATCACTCTTATCAAATTTAGAACTTTTACTTGCACTAGTTCGCATTCACACTATGCACCCATAAACACAGAACTACCACCTTTTGCTCTAATAAAGTCCCAGTGCTCAAGCCTCTTATGATTGGACTAACCTTCTCTCTGGTTATCTGCATATTTCACAGGTCAAAGACATCATATACACCCATTCATGAGATACTATTCTCCACTAAGGACAAACCCAAGCTCCTGAGTCAGGTCAGCAATACTACAATTATGAATGGAAACCTAAAGCATCTTTATTATTTACTACTCCCTCTGTTCCAAATTATAAGACGGTTTGGCTTTTCTAGATACATTGCTTTTACTATGTATCTAGATTAGTGTATATCTAAATGCATAGTAAAAGCTACGTATCTATAAAAGTCAAAACGTCTTATAATTTGGGATGGAGGGAGTAGTTTCTGTTTAAAAATGAGCTTGTCTATGCCTTTGATAACATTAGCTGTCTCTTTTTTATCTTATATGTCAATGCTAACAATGATTGTTACTATGTGCGCCTTTTGATTTCCTGGGCACCATGGCGTATGTAACCATGTTTATCTTCTTGCTCTGACAGTTGTCTGCTTTGCTTTCTGACATTGGACTGAACATCAGGGAGGCACATGTGTTCTCAACAACAGATGGTTATTCTCTTGATGTTTTTGTTGTTGACGGTTGGCCCATTGAGGTAATTTTAGTTTCGTATTATGTTATGTGTCGAATTGCTTAGATGACAAAATTGTAGTGCTGATGCCTACTGATATCTTGTAACGTTTTACTTGATATTTTCTTTTAAACTAATGTGCTTGTGGTTATTTAGGAAACTTCAAGATTCTAAAGGATTTATAGTCTTTGGATAAGTTTTAGGTTAATGCTGTTATGTGACGACTACTTTCCTCTATTGACATGGCAATCAAATGGATCTCTAGAGTTGTCTTGCTTGAATGAGCGTGATGTCCCCATTGGGATGCACAGAAAAAAAATTGATCCTATTTCTTTGTGAACAACAATGATATATCACTACAATGTTTATCGTTACAAAAGAGCATTGTTGTCCTATTTCTATGTGAACAGTTTTTTTTTTCACTGCTCAAGATGATAATTACGCTTCATGTGAGCAGGAAACTGATGGTTTGCATAAGGCACTAGAAGCATCAATTTTGAGAAATGAGGTATGCTGCATAATCCATTCACAGCTTTACGAAGTTCTTGCTGTTCAATTGGGACTCGATATATTCAATATGTACTGATCCTGCGATCCAATATCCTCAAGCTAATATCATATTTCTGGATCTTTGTAAAATAAATAAGGGTTCATGGTCTGGCTCTGAATCCTCAGCTTCCGAAAGATCACTACCATTCCTAGCACAGGAATCAGATATTGACACAAGACTTCTGAAGATTGTAAAGAAGGTTGCTTCTGGATCTTGTGGGGACATGTGAGTCACTGTTACACTGCTGAGTTTAGTGGCAGATTTGTCATATCTAGCAGTGTTTTCTTCATATGATGCATGTGCTCTTGTGTGAAGGTTTCTTGGGACCTACAGTGGTGAGGAGGTTGCTGTTAAAGTTCTTAATCCTGAGAATTTGAACCAAAATGCATGGAGTGAATTTAAGCAAGAAATCTACATGTTAAGGTATTCCATATTTCTATGAATAATTTGTGTATCATTGTTTTTTTTTTTTGATAACATGAGGTTATCATTGTTGTGTGCACTCTTGAAGTTGTACACCTGATTATATTGTGTTCAGAAATCGATCTCTAAAAATCGGCATAAGTAGGCATGCTTTTACCTCCACCAGCTTGTCTGTTGCAAGCACAAACAAAGATATATACCTAATCCTTCACCTTCCACACTTCTTTTCAGGGAAGTTGATCATCCAAATATTGTCCGATTCATTGGTTCATGCACAAAGCCACCTCAGTTTTACATAATTACAGGTGAGATTCATGCAAGCAAACACAAAATTTTAGAAAGGGTAACAACTGAATTTTCTTGTGTATGTTGCGATGGATTTGTGGTCGCACAAGAATAGACCGAGTTAGGAACGATGATATACGTGACCGCCTAGGGGTAGCACCAATTGAAGAAAAGCTTGTCCAACATCGGTTGAGGTGGTTTGGCCATGTCCAAAGAAGACCTTCAGAGGCACCAGTGCATTGTGGAGTCCTAAGCCAAGCTAATAATGTGAGGAGAGGTAGAGCTAGACCGAAATTGACATGGGAGAGGCAATAAAAAGAGATTTGAAAGCTTGGGATATACCTAGAGATCTATGTTTGAATAGGAGTGCTTGTAAAGCAGCTATTGATGTACTTGAACCGTGACTAGGGGCTCTTGGTGGGTTTCAACTCTAGCCTACTCCAACTTGCTTGGGACTGACAGGCTTTGTTGTTGTTGTTGTTGTAACAACTGAATTTTCTTTTGCACCAATAATCAGAGTTCGAAAAGTATTTGGCACCATGACTTAAAGTGAGAAGAAGCTACTGTTGAAAGACCATAGCCTTGCCTTGGGAAATTGTATTTTCCTCTATGATGGAGATCGTGTTACTATTTTCCCATTTGAAGTATATATATGTCTTAGAGAGTTCATTTGAGGTAGTAACTTTAATATCTATTTTTTGTCTTGCAGAGTGCATGTCTAGAGGAAGTCTGTTTGATTTCTTGCACAATGAGCATAATGTGTTGGACCTCCCAACACTTCTGAAGTTCGTGACTAGATGTATGCCGAGGGATGACCTACTTGCATCAGAAAGGCATTATCCACAGAGATTTAAAGTCTGCCAACCTTTTATTGGATAAAGATCATGTATGTACCCAATGATTATTAAGTTCTTTCATTGGAGCTGAGTATTTTGCAGGCAGTGGTTGTGGAAAATATTTGTGGACACGGATTATATTTTTCGTTTCTTTGCCCATATTATGGTCATGGATATGCATTTAAAAGTACTAAATATGTCAATATAAGTCATTTTATGCTCATTTCTCCAGGTTGTTAAAGTAGCAGATTTTGGTCTAGCTCGTTTTCAGGATGGAGGGTGCTATGACTGCTGAAACTGGGACCTATAGATGGATGGCACCTGAGGTATTAGACGCTGGAACAATTTGACTTCTGTTAAAGCTAGCCAAAGCTCAAAATACAATTTATAGTGTCTTCGTTTTATCTGCGCTTGATGTTTTCGAACTGGACTTATAATATGTTTGAAAGTGTATATTCACAGCATGAATATTGTTACTACCAGTTGTGTACTAATTAGTGGTTTACAAAATTGTCATATTCATATAATTTCCAACTAATAATATGGAAAAGAAATGGAAAGCCTTTAATCACTTTCATTTTTCATGTGTAGGTTATAAATCATCAGCCCTATGACAACAGAGCAGATGTATACAGTTTTGCTCTTGTACTTTGGGAGCTCATGACATCCAAGGTTTCTATGCTATCTCATATGGGATATTTACAGGCTTGCAGAACAAAAAAAAATTAAACAAAGTTATCAATTATCATTACCTGTGCTTTTGCCCATTAAAATGTTGTTTTCCAATTTTCCAGATTCCATATAATACCATGAGCCCCCTCCAAGCAGCCGTTGGTGTGAGGCAGGTCGGTTCTTACAATCTTGTGTAGCTGATTTTATCTGTTCATACATTTTCCCACTTTCAGAAGTTACTCTACTTGAAGGGGAACAAAAGTTTAATTCGATTTGATTTCAATGCAGCTACAAGCAGCTGTTTGAGAAAAATACAGTTGTTAGAAACAGTATATTTTGAGATGTGTCAAGTATGTTAAATATTATGCTGACTGTACCAGGGATTGCGGCCACAAGTTCCAGAAAATGCACATCCCAGGCTCATAAACTTGATGCAGAGATGTTGGGAAGCCATCCCGCCTGATCGCCCTTCACTTATGGAGATCATTCCTGAACTAGAGGATATTCAAGCACAAGCGCAGGTATCACCACAAAGCCCTCGCAGTCAATTTCAAATGGATCCTACTCTGGTGGTTCTGAGAACATGCCATGCCTCACTGCTGTTAGCCTGTTACAGAGAACATCAGGGGAGGCGAGCCAGAAACAGAAGGACGAGAACCCAGGCAGTAGTAAAGATTGATTGACCCTCTGCACATACATGTTGACAAGTTCTCTCATCTGATCACTAACAGCTGAGAAAGTAGCATATCATCAGTTTTGATGCCAGAGAAAAGAATTTTTAGTCAAGTTTTGTCTGCAACTCTTGGGGCCAACGGCCAAGCTCTTGGTATGAACCTTGCTTCACACTCTTAGGTCCCATTTTTCTTGCATAGGAGGATATCTTTGAGTTGTGGCTTGATATATGTGAATATTCGGATGAGAATTTACTGCTGCTTGTCATGCAAAACTGCATGTTTGTCGGGGCTTGTGAGTTTCTTGAGTTTGCATATTGAGGATTTCATGATTATGTCAGGTGTTACGGATGCCTGTAGGTGACTGGTTCTGGAGGCGAGGTGCCTCCATGCTCAGGTTCACCTGGCTTCCTGCAACCACCACGCTGATTGGTTCATATCAGTTGCATCTTTCCTGCAAGAACAAATGCAGTGCAATGCGTGGCGGTGGTTACAGCAGTTGAGTTTTATAACTCCTCTCTATCGGAGATGCCTCAGAAGAGCTCGAAACCTGACGACGATGGGTCCGTATCATATGATGTTCTCCGTCTTCATTTCTCAATCAAAAAACTAAATGGGAGGAACAAGAGATACTGATTGTACCGAGGGCAGAGAGATTGTCTCTAGTTTGTTAGAGCATCTGCCTCCTTGTGTCCGTCCGTCGAACACTTGTAGCTAGTGATAAGGACAAAATGGAATCCAAATCGTGCTGGCTGTTTCGGATTGGATAGAAAATTCCACCAGGAGCCTGTGTTAGCTTTGTAGCAGCAGCAGCAGCATCTTCCTGAATAGTGTTGAGCCTAAGGAGAAGAAGGGGCCAGGCTAGGATGTTTTCAGGGGTGCTCACCAGCATGGGAGAACAAAGCACACAGTGTTCAAGCATTGTTAACAACAATCACTTTGGACTAATTACTTGGTAAACATTTTTTCTTGGCAAGAGATGATTCTACGATTTTTAGCATGAGTGTTATACAATGACATCAATGATTTGACTTGTAGACCCACGCTCTGGCCTCCGGGGTACCGAGATTCAAATTGGCGATCAACTACATACATTTTTGTATTGAAGGTCACCTGGGGGAGACGATCTCCACCTGAATTTTATTGATCATAATAATCTGCCATTAAGGCGTTGGATTTTACAAATTACACCGTTTTCTTTGTATAGTAGAGATAGATTGATTACATTACGTTACACTTGGAATCGTTGCATTCTCCGCTCTGAAAACCACTCCATTCCTACGCTTCCAAAGTTGCCAATGATCAATGGTAACATCAAAGTAGCCATCAGGTGACCTTCAATACAAAATGCGGCAGGCACGACGTGTGATCTGGAGTACCTAGCAAATCAATACTAGTATATAAAAACATCAACAATTGGTCTTGTGTTCTCCACACTCCTCTGCGTCCGGGCGTGTGGTGGCCGCAAGCGTTTTTCTGCGTCCCGTACGTACTCCCGTTGCACCGTGCGTGCTCCTTCCATCCAATACACTGTCCAGTCTGCCGCCGGGCCCGGGGGCCATCGGCCATGGCCACCGCCGTTTCCAACGACGACGCCAGTAAGCTCACCGTCGTCGTCCTCGGCCCGGGCGCGGTGGGCGCAGCTGCCGCCGCCGCCAGCGCAGTTTCTGCCGCAACCAAGCCTTCGGCGCGGCACGTGCAGTGGCTGCGCGCCGCGGTGCTGGGCGCGAGCGACGGCCTGGTGTCGACGGCGGCGCTCATGCTGGGCGTGGGCGCCGCGCGTCCGGGCGACGCCGACGCCGACGACCTGAGCGGCAGCGGCGGCGTCCTCCTCGCGGGGCTCGCGGGCCTCGTCGCCGGCGCCTGCAGCATGGCCATCGGCGAGTACGTGTCCGTGCACGCGCAGCTGGATGTGGAGCTGGCCGACCTCAGGCGCGCGGCCGACGAGGAGGAGGCGGCGGCGGGTGACGGAGACGACGGAGCTCCAGTGGACCGGACCGCGGGCCTCTCGAGCCCGGGCCAGGCGGCGGCGGCCTCCGCGGTGTCTTTCGCGGCCGGGGCGGCCGTCCCGCTGCTCGCGGCGGTGGTCGTGGCGACGGCGGCCGCCACGCTGGCGGTCTTCGGCTGGCTAGGGGCCGTGTTGGGCCGGGCACCCGGTGGACGGGCCGGGCTGAGAGCCGTGGTGGGAGGCCTGGTGGCCATGGGGATCACGTATGGGCTCATGAAGCTGTTCAGGATCCATGGAGTTTGATGGGCCAGAAATATCAGTGGATCTCACTTAGCTGATTTAGCACCCCAGTCAATGTTCGCCACCACTGCCGTGCTGCGCATGCCGCCGCCGCCAAAGCTGGCTTGCCTCCCACACAAACAGTTGTAAAATCCGTGATTCTCTATGCTATTTATGTGTTTGTGATGTTAACCAAGCGGGTTTGATTAAATTATAATACGTGTTTTGACTTTTCCAAATATATTACTCCATTATATATTTACACATAGTGTAGATCTAAGTGCATAGATAAATCTTTGTATCTAAAAAAAACTAAAAGGTTCTATAATTTGGAATAGAGGGAGCATAGTCTATATTTCTATGACCTTTATGTTTACTATGATTACAATCTCCCTTAAAAACCCTGGTCCGCTTTAGAATCTAAGATTTTCATAAAGAACATTGCTCCCACAATCTCCATATAAAGACCTCCAGACGTGCACATAGCCGCTGAACAGGATAGCAACGTTATTAACATCCGGACGTTATTGTTAGAATATGAGTGAATTGGCCATATCTTTCCATGAGCTTAATCTTTTGGGTTAAACTGGTCGGTAGATGCAATTCAATATGGTACAAGATCTAGAGGTCTCGGTTCGAATTCGAAGCCTAGTTAGTGCAATTAAATTAAATAATTGTTGTTCCCTCCTATTTCACGTTTGATAAGGCCTAGGGGAGTGTTGGAATATACGTGAATTGCCAATCAAGGTTTTAGGTTGAACTGGTCGGTGCATGCAACTGAATAGTTATTTGATTATTAAAGTTTGTCTAAGACTAATCTATACATGGTGACTTGGTCTCTTGAAACTAGATATTTCAAAAGTTATTGGTAAGTGTATGCAACTCAATAATTATTCAATTATTAAAGTTTATCTATAAAGCATAATCTATACATCGTGATTTAGTCTCTTGAAACTAGATATTTCAAAAGTTATTGCAAGTCATCAAAGTTCTAAAAGTTTAACCTCAATGTTTTCCAAAGCAATACTAGATATCGAATACGACTTCCAGTTGATGTATAATCTACCGTAAGAGTATCTCCAACAGTAAAAAATACTCCCAAAAACTGGTTTTACAACCTTTGCAAAATGTATTGGGAGACAAAAAAGGCTACAACTCCAACAATTTCCAAAATCTCACGTCTCAAAGATAGAAGGAAATTATATTTTACATAAGGAATCCTAAACTATTTCTAAATTACACTAACAACTTTAATACTTTATTTCTCTCTTGTATATTTGCATTAGGAACCCTACTTTTTTTTTTCTTCCCCAGACACGTCCACCTCAGATTCGCATTACGATACGCTGCGTGTAACTTTACGTGCGTGGGGAGGTTTTTTCCAAGTGCCAAAAGATTGAAAGGTGTTGGAGATGAGTTTTTTTCAATCTTACCAAAATTTGCTAGATTGGAAGACTTTTTGGGTACTCTTGAAGATGCTCTAACTCTGTAAATGAAAATAAAAATTTAAAATTACAAATAGTAACTAACCCCATATTTTCTTATTCGAGTTCATTTTGTATCTCGTGTTTGCCGTTTAATAGTGAAGTTTAACCGGAACATAGCCGGTGCAGCTGACGACCGACAGCAGCGTCTTCTTCCTCATGTCGACCTCGACCATCCATACTTGGTTCCCCTCCAAGATGTCAGGGTAACTGACCTGAAGCAGACGGCGCCGGGGTTGTCCACGCTCAAGACGGGCAGCACGGTTGCACACGCTGGAGGCCCTCGCAGGCCAGCAGCGCCCATAGCTCCTCGCGATCGAAGCACGGCGTCCTTCACTTCCACGCCGACGCCATTCGGCGTGTTCGCTCGTTAGTGGTGCTTTGGCTGGTTTTTTTGGCCGATGATCTTTGGTTTTTGTGAGAGGAAAACATTGTTGGCTGGTTGAATAAGCCTTGCTGAAACCAACAAGCGAACAGCGTCGTCCGTCCTCAGTGTCAGGGTCCAGGTGGTCACAATGAAGAGGCGGAGCGGGACCGAGGTGGTGCCGTGGCCACCGCAGTAGGCCGCCATGTCCCCATGATCACGACCGCGCGTCAACCAGGGTTCGAGCTGAGCCACAAGGAGCTCGTCCTCGCCGCCGCACCGCAGGAGGCCGGTGTTCTCATGGAACAACCTGCGACGGCCCAAGCAATGGAGCCGCTCTTCCTCCATGAAAACGTCGCGGGTGGGGAGCTGGGTCAGCGCCGGCGGCCTCGTGGCACCGCCGGCACTGTACACGAAGGACCCATCTTTCTTCTATCTTCCGGTACTAAAAAGATCAACCAGGACCCATCTACCACCACCGTGGTGAGTGGTGACACGGCCGGCGCGCCCACACACGTTCACACATGACTGGCCACCTTTAAATCCTAGTCGCCACAACACTTAAATCCTAGTCGCCACAGCACGCTCCTCACCTTGCACGCGACTGCGGCGGCCAATGCCCCTACATTTGGGAGTCGAACGCGGTAATAGTAGAGGCCAATCATCCGGCTCTGCCTCTCTTCCCTCTCACATACTCCCTCCTTCCAACATTTATTTTTTTCTCAAAATTGTTGTCATTCTCATTTTCCAATACAACCTTTCTCTTCTTCAAATACATCTTTTTTTTTTTTCCCAATACATCTTTATATCTATTCCTCCTGTCTCTCTACTTCCTTTCTGTGCACTACACCTTTTCACTCTTTCTTAATACCCGTGCCCAAACCTAAAACGTCAAATATTTTGGGACTAGTGTGCTCGATCGGTTTATTAAGC